TTTTTTTTTTTTTTTTTTTTTTGGTACTGCTGAACCATAGTCGGGATTCCCAGACCTGAAGAGGACTTCTCAGTTTTCTGTAATTGGCAGAAGTCAGAAGTTGTCTTGCTTGTTACACTTCTTTCCATAATTTGGCCATGTATTCTATATTGAATTTATTTTTTAATAGTAATTATCTGGAATTGTATTTGGGGCCTCTCAAATTTCAGCATGTGATGAGAGAGACATCATACATAGTACAGGAAAAAGGGCTTCAGTGTGAGAGAGGTTTGGGCTCAAGTCTACCACTTACTGGTTGTAAACTTAATTAACATTTATTCTTCAGTTTCCTCATTTGTGTATGGGAAAATAATTCTGGTCCATCAGAGTGTTCCAAGAAATATGTAATGGAGCTTAAGAGTGTTATGTATATGTGGTAAAGAACTAGTAGGATGTTTTGTTTGTTTTAGAGGAGGTGATTTCCTTTTAGAGTTTTGTTTGTCTTGTTGGGTTTGTTTGTTTGTTTGTTTGTTTGTTTGTTGAGACAGGTTCTGGCTTTATAGTTCAGGCTGGCCTTTTTAATTCACTGTGTAGCCCAGGCTGGCCTTAAACTCATGGTGATCCTCCTGCCTCAGCCTTCCAGTGCTGGGATTACAGGTGTGCACCACCACACCCAGCTGTCTTGTTTTTGAAATGGGATCTCACTACCTTGCCCAGATTGGCCTCAAACTCACAATCCTCCTGCCAAGTAGCATTTCCTTTTAGAGTTTAAAGAAAGAGAATAGCTTCTTTATTTATTGGGAAATTGATATTTAACTTTTATTATGTAGAATCCACTGCTGCTGGCAAAAATATAAAATGGTACAACAGCTTTGGAAAAGCTCAATAGTTTCTTTAAAAATTAGATAAGCTTTCCACTTCTAGGCATTTATCCCCTAGAAATGAAAGTGTATTTCCATATAAAGGGACATACATGAGTGTTCAAGCTTATTTATTTGTAATAACTGAAAGCTGGAGACAACCCAAGTATCCCATCAAAAGGAAATGAATAAAGAAATTGTAATATATCCATTTAAATATTACTCAGCAAGAGAAAGGAGTGGATTACCGGTACGCACAACAACATGAGTAAATTGCAAAATAATTCTGTTGTATGAAAGAAGCCATAAAGAGTCCATATGGAGGACTGGAGATGTAACTCAGTGGTTGAAAGCCTACCTATGTGTGTGAGGCCCTGAGTTCAATCCCCAGCACCCACACACACACAAAGTACATATAATATGATGCTGATTGTATAAAACGTTTGAAAATGCACTAATCTACGGTGGCAGAAAGCAGGTCAGTGGGCATGAGGGTTATGGGGAGAGGGGCACAGATTATAGAAGGGCGTGCAGAAAGATTGGGGGGTGAGTAAGTAACAGATACATTAATTATCCCTTGATTGTAATGATGTTTTACCAGGTGTGGATCAAAACTTACCAAACTGTACTCTTTACATATGTGTATTATGCTGTATGTCAGTTATACTTTTTAAAACCTAAAAAATTTAAAAAAATTCAATGAGATACATACCATGTGTGAATATACAGAAAAGTTAGCATAGGAGCTGTCTGAATTCCAGATAATGGTCTCCCTGGAAGAATAGTACAATTGAGTTTTAGATAACTCCATGGTAAAGCAGCATAAGGTAAGTACCAAAGGAGACCTACAAATCGAGTGCACACAGGGAGACCAATAATACTTAGGCAGCAACCACTATGCTTTGCTTGCATATTCCCACCTCATAGCAATTCTAGGTGATAGACATCATAATCCTGTCTTACAAATGGGAAAAAAATAGGCTCAGAGTAATTACGAAACTTGGCCAGAGTCCCCTAGATAATATTATTTGGACAAGGAGAGACTAAAAACCAGGTCTGGTTCTAAAGTTTTTACTATAGAGCCCTGCAACTAGGCCCCTACAGAGGCTCCTCCCAGCTCAGACCGTCCCCAAAAGCTTCACGGAAGAGATGGTATTTGACATGGGTGTTGGAGGTTGGATAGGATTTCGGTGAGTAGAGAAGCTCTGTGAAGAATGTTGTCCCACAGAGGAAACAGCATGGCAATAGCTCAGAGGGCATGCGTAGGCAAAGGCAGGCAGTGAGTTTGGCTGGAGGGTTGGGTGGGCCTTGAGGCGCTGTGGAAGGTGAAATGGGGGTTAGATGGTACTTTGGCAGGGAGATTTCAGTACTTTCCACCATTCTGGCAGTGGAAGAGCCATAAGAGCCTCGATAAGGCCAAGCTTTGGCTGAAAGAATTAAGAAGCAAATGTAAGGTAGACATTTAAGGTATGGTAATCATGTCCTCCCTGTGGATTGAAGTCACTGTAAAGCAGCCCTTTGCTCTTTTTAACTTGCTTTGAATTTTGAATAAAGCCTTTTTTCACCTTGAATAGACTTGAAATGAAAGGGACGGAAAGACAGGAAGAGGAAAGAGAGAGGAAAAAGAGGGTGGTATAGGGAAGATGAGATCAGATCAGAGCCCACTATGGTTGTCTCAGAGAGAAACAGCAGGACCCTGGGCCAAGGCAGAAACACTGAGACTGTCATCAGACAGCATGGATTCTAGTCTTCAGTGATTATGGAAATCAAAACTGAAGCATGAATTTACAGGAAAAAAGCTTTAATTGGAAAGTAAGGAATATGACAAGGAATTTTATCTTGAAAAGCTGACAAAGATCAGTCTGGCCTTGACAAAGGAGAGTAAGAAAAAAAATAAGAAAAAGACCAACTTGAGCAGCTAGAAATGGATCAGACTGGCCCATCAACAGAGCCCAGGAACCAGTTTTGTGGAGTGTTGTAGTGGGCTTGCACCTGATTGATCCTTTTCTCGGTCCTGTTTTCCTAGCTCGAGTTGAATCCTTAGGACTGGAGGGGCAATTCTGTTGCCATGGGAGTTGTCCTCAGGACTTGAGAGACAATTTCTTTATGTGTGGTTTTGCTGGAATCCAAGCTTTAAGACAATGAAGGCTTCTATGTGTAGATATTCTCTGTCTTGAAGATCAACAAGATAGGCTAGGTAGATTTAGGGCCAATAAACAAGCTATTCCTTTAATGACTAATGTGCCTGTATGCAGAGCTGAGAAAGATTTGACCGAAGTTTTACAACATGAAAGTCAAGCTTTTTTCTACTTTTAATTATCTCCCATACATTTGTAGGCCCAAGTAAAGAGCCCCAGTTTAAAAAAAAAAACATTTTAAGTCCTTGTCTTTCATACCAGAAAATTCAGATCATGCTGTTCATAAATAACAGGTTAAGGGCCCAGGAGTTTGTCTGTCCCCTGACTTTATGGTGGTTTCTCACTATGCTGGGCTGCAGGAAAGAGGAAAATGGAGGAGAGGTTTGGGGTCATTGCCAGGGCCTGGCAGCTGATTGGCTTCAGTCCCATCCAGAGACTGCTGTCAGCTCCAGCCCAGCTCCAGGCTTTGAACCGGGAGGGTTCTGATGCAGATCAAGGAGACAAGAGAGTTCTTGAGGAGGAGCTGGTCTGGGGAGGAGAGGCTGAACTCTGCACAGGGTAAGCTGGAAACTTCTGACCACTGGGGTCTAGTAGGCAGAGCTCAGAGACGGGCCTGGGACTTGACTGTGGAGGCAAGGTTCTCAAGCAAAGAGCCAGGGAGAGAAGAAGAGTTCTCTCTCCTCCTTGTCTTGCAGTGGAGTAAAAGCAATTTTTTTTGAGCTCTTATTCTGCGTCCAGCCTCTCACTATAGTTTCACTGCCATTATCTCATTCCAGTGTCTCAACAACTCTGGGGTAGAAGGTAATGTTGTTGTCCCCATTTCACACATGAGAAATGAAGGTTTTGAGGGGCAGAGGTTGGGCCAAGGTCATCGAGGGACAGGGTGGTGAAGTCAGTTACATCCCAAGTCTGCCTGGCAGACTTCACCACAACACCTGGGGCCTATGCCAGCACTTCCTGTTATCTGTTCTGTCAGCTTACTGGCTTCTGTGTCCTTCTTTCCTGACTCAGTAGGTGTTTACAGGAAAGTGTGTTTATAAGGAAGTGTGCAGAAGAAATAATATCAAGAATCAACAGGGCTGGGGATTAGCTCAGTGGTTCTGCTCCCCGCCTCACAAGCGCAAGGTCCTGAGTTCGATCCCCAGTACCAAAAAAAAGAAAGAATCCACAAATGGGATCATATCAAATTTAATAGCTTCTGCACAACAAAGGAAACAGCCATCAGAGTGAAGAGAGCCTACAGAACTGGAAAAAAATTTTGCCAGCCACACCTCAGAAAGAGGTATATATAAAGAACTCAGAAAAGTTAGACCCACCCCAAAATAAAAGACCTAATTAAAAATTGGACAACTGAAATTAGTAGATACTTCTCAGAAGAAGAAATACAAATGGCCAATAAATGCATGAAATGCCAATTAGAACAATACTGAGACTACATCTTACTCCAGAAAGAATGGCCATCATCAAGAAATCAAATAATCTACTCAGCCATAAAGAATTCGAAACTAGAGATGTTTATAGCTAAATGGATGCACATTGAGGCCATACTTTTAAATAAATAGGACACACATGTGTAAATACTGAGTAGTTTCTCTGGTGTGAGAAACTGAAAGTGTAAATAAGGACCAGAATGTATAATAGATAATTTGAAATAGGAAGAAAAGGTTCAAAGTGGAAGGGGAAGTGGGAGGGGTAAAGGTAAGGATAGAAGAAAAAGGAATAAATATGAAAAAAAAGGAAAAAAATAGAAACATAGCCTCTGTAAACAGCGTTGAAGGAAGGGCAGAGGAATGGGGAAAAAAATAAGAACCAAGATATATCGTGTGAAGTGCAAATTCTTAATGATGAATGTCATCATACTATATATCTAAAATGTACCAATAAATTTAATGAATAAAAAATGAATTGTTACCTTTAAAAACAAGAAATCAAATAACAACAAATGAGGGTAATGCTGTGGGGAAAATTGTTGGGAGAAATGTACATTAGTACAACTGCTGTGGAAATCAGTACGGAGATTCCTCAAAAAACTAAAACCAAAAGTAAAGAAATAAATACCATTAAACTAGAAATTCCATTTGATCCAGCTATTGCTCTTCTAGGTATCTCCCCAAGAGAGTTACAGTCATCATATTACAGTGATCCATGCATACCCATGTTTATAGCAGCACAACTCATAACAGCTAAATCTTAGAAGCAGCCTATGTCCATCAACAGAGGAATGGATGAAGAAAATGTTATATTTACTCACAATGGAAACTACTCTGCCATAAAGGAGGATGAACTTGAATCATTTATAGGAAAATGGATGCACCACCTTGAGAATGTAATGCTAGGTGAAATAAATGAAGTACATGAGCTTAAATATTTCATTGTTTCTCTTTCACGAGAAACCCAAAATACAAGTAGAGATCAAAATAAAAGATAAGGGCCGGGGATTTAGCTCAGCGGTTCGGTGGCCTGCCTTGCAAGCGCAAGGTCCTGAGTTCAATCCCCGGTACCAAAAAAAAAAATAAAAATAAAACAAAATAAAAGATAAATAGTAGGAAGTAAAGAGATAGATCTTCAAATGGGAAGGAGAACAAGAGATGGAGAAGCGGGGAAGGAGAGGAACGGAAAGGGATGAAAAAAGAACTGAAATGGATTATGAACACATACCAATTCACCACCAGGAATATGATCATTCCGTGCTACAAACATGACCTAATGAAAAATAAAAACTTCTAAAAAAGAGAGCCCAGGATTTAGCTCAGTGGTTCTGTTGCCTGCCTCGTGAGCTCAAGGACCCGGTTTGATCCCTGGTACCAAAAAAAAAAAGAAAGAAAGAAAGAAAGAAAGGTGATATCTATAAGTATCAGTTCCCCACAATGAATGTATTTATGTATCCTCAACATATACTAACACATTTTGGGGGGTGTGTGGTACCAGGGACAAACTTAGGACCTTGCACTTACAAGGTGGGCATGGTGCCACTGAGCTAAATCCCTGTCCCTGATACATTTTTAAAACGTCGGAAAATATTAAAAGGAAAAATTTGAGACATAAACCATTCAATTTCTTAATAACTTTTACTTAAGAGAAAAGAAGTGTGAGCTGGGTGTGGTGGCTCAGGCCTGTAATCCCAGCATTCTGGGAGACTGAGGCAGGAGGATCTCAAGTTTGAGTTTAGCCTGGGCAATTTCATGACTTAGCAAGACTATGTATGAAAAAGAAGCTGGGGCTGTAGCGCAATGTGAAGACCTTGTGTTTAATTCTCAGTACTGCTGAGAGGCGGGGAGAAGAGGGGGAGAGAGGAGAGAGAGTGGAGAGCGGGGGAGAGAGAGAAAAGAGAAGAGAGGAGAGGAGAGGAGAGGAGAGGGAGGGTTCAAAACCTAAACTCTGAAGAGCCCCTAGGAGAAGTGGCTTTAGCCAGTGGAGAAGGATTGAAGAAATGAATAAAAGCATGTTTCTTTTTTCTTTCTTTCTTTCTTTTTTTTTGGTACCAGGGATTGAACTCGGGTCCTTGCACTTGCAAGGCCAAAAACATATTTCTTAAGCATTCACTGGGTGGCACAACTTTCTGGGGAGCTGCCATCCATCAGCAGGATTAATCTCAGATTCTCTTCAGCTCTTGCACCTAAAGGAATTGGATAGCTGGAGTGTGGAGCTGTGCTCCTGTCAGGCCCCTCTTTCCCCCATAGGACACTTGCTGTACTTGTGCATTCACTTGCGCGCACACACACACACACACGCACACACACGCACACATCTTCCACTAGGCTGTAAGCCCCCTGCCCCAGAGACTGCCTCTGCCCCCATTGCTGCTGCATTCTGTGCAGACCCGGCTCTCAACACAGTACCTGGCTGATCATGGGTGCTCTGTACTTATCTATTTGGAAGGAAGGGCCTGCCTGAGGCAAGCAGGGAAGAAGAAAGACAGAAGTTCGGAGAAATATCCACATCTAGAAAACGATGGAGAAAGATTCAAACCCACATCTCCTGCCTCTAAATTTCCTACTTCAAATATCCCACTTGTTCAAGGGCCTGAGTGGGGGCTGGTAACAGAGGACAGTGTGGCTTTGGGGACATCCCGGCCCTCTCTGGGCCTAGCAGGGAGGTATTTCAGTGGACAGCAGCAGCTCCAGCATAAACTGTAGGACAAGGGAGGATGAAGATACAAAACTCATCCCCCTATTTAACAATACTGTTGAGATTTTGAGGGAAACAAAATAAAAACTTTGTTTTATTGCTGGGACAAGTATTGTCTGAGGATGCTGGGATGAAGTCCCTGCCCACATCCTCCCCACTGGCTGTCACACAGGTCTCAGTAAATTCCTGTGTCCTTGCAGGATGGAAGGCAACGCCGAATACATCCTCCCTACTGAAACAAGGTATGTCGGAGAGATGAAGGATGGCATGTTTCACGGCAAAGGAACCCTGTACTTCCCCAGCGGGAGCCGATACGATGCTGACTGGGAGAAGGGACTGGCTGTCAAGGTGATCAGAGGGGAGATCTTGGGCAGGAAGAGCTCCCCACTTACACTGCCTGGTGCCTACCTCCTTCCATTCTCCTCCCTGCTTCTTGACCCACAGCTCTAGAATCTTCTCCCTCTGGATCTGGAAGAGCCCCTAGAGGGCCATTAAGAGTTTCAGTCCTGTTATACCACTTCCTGTCAGATCTGGGGCCCATGATTTTGCCTCTCTGAGACGCTAGGTCAGAAGTCAAACTGGGTCATCAGGGACAAAGCCCTGGGGGAGGGGGGGAGGGTCTGTTTCCTCACCTTTTCCAGTTTTCAGAAGCTGCCTGCATTTGTTGGCTCCTGACCACACATTGCTCCAACCTCCACTTCCGGTACTATATTACCTTTCCTTTCCCTGTTTTTGTCATCACCTCGCCTCCTTTCACCCAGACCTTGCTGTTTCCCTATTATAAGGACTTGGGCACACCCAGATGATCCAGGCTAACTTCCCACACTTCAGGACCCTTCATTTAATTGCATCTGAAAAGTTTCCTTTGCCATGCAAGGTAACATATTAAGTCCCAGCAGACATTGATGTGTTTGGGGAACTACTGTTCAGCCTGCCGCAATAGTAATAGGTATCTGCTAGGAGGATTGTGGAGGTAAATCATATAAAATTTGTGAGCACTTGGCCAAGTTCCTGACATGTAGTGGGCACTTATTACTATTACTATTGCTACCACTACCTCTGCTATTATCATTATAAATTAGCTAATTCAGAGATCCCAGACCTGAGATTTATGGACCATCAGTAGATTATGGACCAGTGAAACCTAATTTTTATACTAAAGTTTCTATGTCTATGGGACTGTTTTTCTCTGGGGAAAAGATCTATAGGTTTTATCCATTTCACTAAGAGTGTGTTAGGGCCTCATAATAGTAAAAAAAAAAAAAAAAAATTAAAAACACTTGTTGTTTTATAGCTTGAACAATCTAAGCCCCAGGAAGGGGATGTGACTTACCCAAGGTCACACAGTGAACTAATATTATTGTGGGAATTTCCACCCCTGTTTCCTGATGCCTAGGCCAATATCATTTCTACATCCTGAGACTCCCTTTAGCACTAAGGCAGCAAAAGCAGAATGCATGTGTTTGGACAGAGGGCCATGGCTGATGGCTCTGACTTTTCTAGCTATAATAATAATAATAGAATAATATCAACATTTGTGAATGCTTACTATTTGTCTGTTATTAGAGTTCTCTGGGAAAGGAGAACCAAAAGGAGATAGAGATGATAGATAGATGATAGATAGATAGATAGATAGATAGATAGATAGATAGATAGATAGAGATTTATTAAGAGGGATTGGCTCATGAGATTATGGAAGCTGCCCTAAAATCTGTCCTCTGCAAGTTGAAGGCCCAGGAAAACCAGGGCTCTGGGTCTAGTTCAAGCTTAAAGGCTGAGAACCAGGGAGTCCTGATCAGAGTCAAAAGGCCCGAGAATCAGGAGTGCTGATGTCCAAGAGGAGGAGAAAATGGATGTCTGTGCTTGAGCAGAAAGCAAATTGGCCCTTCCTAATCTTTTTCTTCTTTTTCTTTTTTTCAGGGGGGAGGGTACCTAGGAGTGAACTCGGAACCCCATACTTGCAAGGCAGGCGGTAGCACCGCTGAGCTAAATCTCCAGCCCTCCCTTTTTCTTCTATCCAGGCTTTCAAAGGATGGGATGCTGCCCACCTGCTTTCCTCAGTCTGCATCCATTAGTCCAGTCCAGTTGCCACATAGAATCAGCTACCACAACCAGGCACCATGCTAAATGCTTTCCAAACACCATCTCATTGAACTCTCACTCCCCCTACTTACTCTGTACCAGTGTTATCCCACTTTTACAAAAGTGGATACAAGGGCCAAGAGAGGTTGTTATCTGCTCGAGTTCACACTGAAAGTTACCTTACTGACCGGCAGGCACAGAGCTCAGTATTTACATCCATTCCTCTGCTCCTCACAACCATAATAATTGTGATAGTCACCACTTCATGTCTGTGGCAATGGGAAACCACCTTATAAGCAGAAAGGCTTCAGCTGCTCAGTTGCATGTGTGCCCTTGTATTCCAGGGCACGTACACCTTCGCAGACGGTCTGCAGTATGATGTAGAGCACTGGCATTATTGCGACAGTTATGACCGGAGATTTTACACGGAGATCTGCTATGGCTTGAGACCTTCAGGTATTCAGGCCCCTTCCCCCTTCTCCACACCCAAACTTGGAGGGAAACTGGAAGCAACTTTTTTTTTTTGGTACCGGAAATTGAACTCGGGTCTTTGCACTTGTGAGGCAGGCGGCAGAACCACTGAGCTAAATCCCCAACCCTACTGGAACCAACTTTAAAGGGGTGCCTGTGGTCCACTTTAGCGCCTTAAAGGAGAGGAACCGAACAGCCGCAGAACCCAAAGGAGCTGGGTCCTGGAGCCAGAAAGGCCAGTCCTTAAATCTTAGCTCCTCTGGACTGGCCAGGGACGGTTAGCAATGCTTCAGTTTCTCTCTCCAAGATGGCTCTGATAGCCTTGTCCACCTCACAAGATTGTTGTCAGTAAGATAATTCCTGTAAAGGGCTCAGAAGATTGTGTTGTGTGCACCTGCCACTGCTTCTGATTTATGGTACCTGCTCTCACCCTGAAGATAGGTATTTGTTTTAAAAGGTAGGAGGGCAGAGAGCAGCACTGACAGAGCATGTGCTCTGTGTAGGTGCTGGCTGAGGTTCTCTGTAATCACTGTCTCATTGACTCCTCAGAGGCCCTTGCCTGGTCCCCTTCCTTGTCTGATACCACAGAGGAGAAATTTCATGCCACGGAGTCCAAATTTGTTTCCCAATGGCAGAGCTCACCTACGAGCCTCTGACTTCCTCTCTGATACCCGCTGCATCCTCCCACCCTTCTGCAGAAGCACATTCCACCCAAGAGGGTGACATTTTGGCCAAAAGTCTGGCTTCAGAGAGTGGCAGTTTTAGGGGTTCTCTGTATGTCTAAGACTAATATTAGATCTAATGAACCCCAAGAAAAGCATGGTTTGGGGCACAGCAGAGACAATATATCAAAGATTACAAATGGCAAAGTGACTTTTAAACTGTAAATACAACCTCTGTTGAGACTGACAAGACTGAGTGGGCAGAACGTGGAGCCAGAGGGTCGGGGTTTGAGTCCTAGCATGCACCCTCGATAACTGGATGAGGCTGGACAAGTCAACCTCCAGTGAATCAGAAACCCCCAGAAAGCACTGGAGCCAGGCAGGCCTGAGTTTGTTGACCTTCTGACTTTGTGACCTTGGGCCTTGGATCCATTGTTTGACCAAGTGAATGACTGTCAGGAGCAATTCTACATAATTTTGGGGGAAAATCATTTGATTAGGCCTAGTTCTCCTGCGTACAGGGCAGCTATGGAGTGTCGAGACATAACTCTATTTTGGCCCCCATCACAGCTAGGATTTCAGTGGTTCAGGGATGCTGTGATGCTCTGGGACAAGATTACACCAGCTGAAGGCATCCTGGGAGGAACAAAATCTTATGCATAGTTCCTCATTGTTCTAGGATCTCCCTGCTGCCACTGCCCTCTGGGTGACCTTTGACATTTGTTGCTCTCCCCATGTACTGAACTCTCCACAAGGAGTGACCTTTGTCATTTGCCACTCTGATGGACCGAACTCTTTGCTCTGAGTCATCTGTTACATTTGTTTTCTCCTGGTGCATTGTGTGGCAAGCTTGGGGGCTTTCACCTTAGCTGCCCAGAGCAGCAATGACCAGGCCCAAAGCTCCGCTTCTTCTCACAGTCTCATTTTTTCTATCTTTCCTGTATAATAAGTTCATTCACCTTGTGCTGTCGTGGCTCGCAGGAGACTAAGACTTACTGCAGAGGTTCTAGTACCGTCCCCTTTCCCTGTTCCCCACAAATGACCTTCTGTCCCTTTCCTTTCCTGACCATCACACACAGCAGCATCTCCTCTCCCCACCTTCTGCAACTATGGATACTGGGATTTCCCAGAGTTCCCTGGCTCGGGCCTTTTTCTGTTATTCTAAACTCTACGCCTAAACAACTCGATTCACTTGTAAGCCTTAAACTGTCATGGACTCCCAGACTGAAATCAGAATGAGCCTCAGATTCTACATTCACCTGTTCAGGTCATTCCTCATCTCATGGGCACTGAATTCATCACCATCCCCACCAGGCTACTCTCCCCAGTGCTGGTACCACAGCGACTGTCACATCCATCCTCCTAGAAAAGCCTGCCCTCCCTTCCCCCTTCCCCCTTCCCCCATGTGTAGTTATCACCTGGCCCTGGAGATTCTGCCTCTTAAATGTATTCCTTCCTCTGTTCACTCAGCAGATATTTCCTGAGCACCTCTATTGCCAGGCAGTGTTCTCTTCATCCGCAGTCACTGCTATATTCCAGAACTCCCTCACTCTCCTCTTGATTGAGTACCTGATTTCCCAAGATCCCTGCCGGTCTCCATTCTGTGATCACTTTCATCTTTTAAAAATGTAGATCTGAAAAATAAAAATATAGATCTGAGCCGGCTCTGGTGATGCCCACCTGTAATCCCAGCACTCTGCAGAGCTGAGACAGAGAGATCGAAAGTTTGAGTACTGCCTGGGTAACTTGGTGATTTAGCAAGGCTGTCTCAAAATACACAATTGGAAAAAAGGGGCTGGGGGTGTAGCTCAGTGTAAAAGCTCTGGGTGCGAACCCTGGTACTAAAAAAAAAAAGTGGATCTGGTTGCCACCCACACATTTACCCCATCCAGTGCCACCAACCCTCAATATGAGGGCCCTACATTCTCAAAACTACTTGTTTTCTCTGGCTTCTACTGATGTGTCCACCTCATCCTCAGCTGCCCACTCTGGCTTTTTACTTTTTTTCTTGCCATGTTTGCTTCTTTTCTCTTCCTCAAAGAGACCACCCTTCTGCCATTTCTCTGCCTGAAATGCTCTAACCCTCCCACTTAACCCAAATAATTCCTTCCCATTCCTCAGGTCTCAGCTTTATGCCCATTTTTCCAGAATCCTCTTCTCTGAATTCCTAGACTAAGCGAGGTTCCCCTCTGGTATGTCACAGTGCAGCTGTGATTCTTTTCCCTGAGCATCCATGTTTATTCTTCCAAGCCAGCTGTGAGCAACGGCAGGGCTGGGTCTTATTCGTGGCTGTATTCCCACTGCCTAGCCCATTGCCTGCCATGTAAGAGGTGCTCAGTAAGGAGCTCTTGTCAAGCAGTGTCTTGCTTACTTTTGTCATTGCTGAGACAAAATACCTGGCATCCAAAGTTAAAGGACGAAAGGTTTATTTCAGCTCACAGTTTGTAGAGGTTTCAGACAATAGTTGGCTGGCTCCAAGGCAGGGTGGCATAGCAGAGAGGCAGCCAACAATAAAGTAGCAAGAAGCAAGCAACAATCAACAAGTAGCCATAGTGGCCTCTTTCTGTCCCTTATATTATATCCATGCTACCAGCCCTTAGGGTGGGTAGTACTCACACCCAAGGTGGGCTTTTCCATTACCCACACCCAGAACTATGCCAAATCAATCAGTGGGCTAATTTAGTAATGACACTCCCTTAATTCCAGCTTCACACACTCTAGGTTCACCCACCTCTGAAAAAGCCCCACCTATGCCCACATGAAACTTCGGGGTTACATCTAGACACAAGCCATAATAAACAGGAAGAATAATACTGACACCATATTGGATGAAGGGGTACACTTGGGGACTTAAAGCAATGGCATTAATAAACATTTCCTGTGCACCCCCTCCTGAGTTAGCTATTACAGGCCCTATACTTTGTCTTGGGCTTTTCACACCAACTGAAACCCTTGAATAAAAAGCCCCTTGTTCTCCCACGGGAACTAGCTCCTCCAGTGTGGCACCTCTACAAGAAAATGGCTATAAAGCACTTGGCATAGAAGAAGCTCTCAGTACTATAATCTTCAACCTAATACACATAGGGTTAGATTAGGGTCAAGGTCAAGGTTAAAGTTAGGTATGTCATTAGCTAACATTAGAGTACCTACTGTGTGCAGGACCCTGAGCTGTGAGCATGGTGCTGTATACTCAGTGGGTGTATTAGCTTTTTTGTTGCTAAGACACAATATCTGGCACCCACAATTTGAAAGAGAAGTTTATTTTGACTCTCGGTTTTCAGAATATTCAGTCCATGATTGCTTGGGTTCAAGGCAAAAACAGCATGGTGGATGTTATGGCTTGTATCTAGAATGTCCTCCCAAAGCCTCGTCCAGTCATAGTGGTGGGGCTTTTTGGAGACATATTTATCTAGAGTGTGTGATACTGGAATTAAGGATGTAATACTGGGATTGATTCATGGTACAATGTTAGGATTAAGGGTGCCCCAATCCTGAGTGTGCGTCCTGGATAGAATATAAGGGTCAGAAAGAGGGCTACTGTTGATGATGCTTGTGGCTTGCTGCTTCCTCACTACTTTACTGCTTTTCTGCCTTCTACCCACCATAAACTGTTTCTCCTCTGTGATGCTCCTCTGCCGTACCTCCCTGCCTTGGAGCCAACCAACTATGAACTGAAACCTCTACAAAGTATGAGCTACAATAAACCTTTCCATCATTTGGATGCCTGGTATTTTGTCTTGGCAATGAGAAAAGTAACCAAGACAGAGGAAGAACCTGGAAGAGGTTTATCTTGGCTCACAGTTTTCAGAGGATTTAGCCCTCTTGGTTGGTTCCAAGGCAGAAAGAGCATGGTAGAAGGGTCTGGTGGAGGGAAGCTACTCACCTCATGGTGACCAGGAAGCAGAGAGAAAGAGTAGCCAGGGACAAAACTATACTCTTCCAGGTCACACCCTATGTGTGTGGACCTTTCAACCAGGCCATACCTCCAAACAACACTTTTGGGGGGCATTTTAGATCTAAACCATAACAGTGATCATGTAGCTCTCTGTCTAGAGAACAGTATTATAGGGTATACAATTACAGGAACTCAAGAAGTTATTTATTATAACACCTCCCTTTACTCAGACCATAGAATTCCACAACACATGCTCTCTCTCGCGCACACACACACACACACACACACACACAGAGTGCATGACAAAAAAAATGCACTGACTTCTTTTGTGCTCCCAGTGGTTCCAGGGTCCCTGTCTTGGAGTCACGCCCAGAATTTCTTTTCTCTTTCATTTGGGCACTTAGCATTTGGATCCCAGAGCCAGGCTGCTTCCTAGCTGGATAACTCTGGGCAGGTTAGTTGGCCTCTCTGAGCATCAGTTTTCTTATCCATAAAATAGAGTCATATGGTTGCTCTAAGGAGCACATGAAACAGGAAGAACATAATGTCTGGACATAATAAACAATAAATGCCAGCCACACTGCTAATTTTGGTGAGAATCAAGGTTGTCCACTGACTCACTTCTTTTCTACTGTTCCCCTTGTATGTGCTTTACAAGATTTTCTGAGTGAGGTTAGGAGATTTGTGCCTCTGTCCTTTGCCTGAAATTTGAATATCACCCCTCTCCTTGACCTGTCCTTCAGTTCCCTTGGCCAATTCTGACTCTAGAATACGTGCCCTTTGTCATGGTGTCCCAAGAAGAAATGGAGGAGGATAGGGTTTGGGAAGAAAAGAGAAGCTGTAGTTCCCAAGATGCTCACAGAACCATCTTCAGAAAGCACCTCCAGGAGCCTGTTTCTCCTGAGTTTCCTCTTGCCTTGAATAGGGAGTTTGGTCCAGCAGTGGAGCCAGGTTACCACATGAGGATCCAGCCACAGGTGGGCTTTTAGGGGCATTGGATTTGTATTTGGCCTTGGTGATGAACTAATTATCATTTATGTCCTTTCAAGTTATCTGTCAACTCACCAATATGGACCCACCCAGAAAAATACCCAAAGGCTGTTATGATTGTGGAGATGGCTTCTACAACCCAGTCACAAGGATCATCAGGGACTACAAAAGCCACTTTCTGAGAAATGCAGGTAGGTTTATGCCAACACACTGCAGCAATCTCTCCCTTCCCTTCACCTCCGTACAGGATTGTACATGTGTATGCACACATGCATATCTGCATTTGATACGCTTTTGCTGTAACTTGTTCATCTGGAAATTTTACTGTTTGTACCCATGGTTGACCTATCTGTACACAGGCATAGAGTGATATCAAAAGCACTTGTAATCTAAGTGTGACAGCATGTTAAGTGTAGCACTGAAAGGACTAAAGTATTTATTTTGGATACAGGCATTCGAGTCATATTTCATGGTTACCTACTGTATGCTAGACACTGCTTGGTATTGGGGGTAAAACAAAGCAAAGCTAGACGTGGACTCCTTCCCTATGAAGCTACTATCCCAACAGGCAGGAGACAAGGACTGTAAACAGCTGACTACATCATGGAATAAGCACCACTGCAAGGAAAAACGTGGGCATCCCTGAGAGGTGGGAGTGACACTGTGCAAGCACCATGAAGAGGTGCCTAATGGAGAAATAGCACATTGGAGATTTCAAGAAGACCCTGGTATCTGAGTGTCACCAATTAACTGAGGGTTCTTTTGCTCACTTTGGATGGAACTCATGAACAGGTGCAGTGTAGCTCTTTTGGTGTTAATAGCCCTGAGTTTTGAGTGCCAGTGGCTACCAGCTCTTAGTGTTACTGGTCCTCTGCCACTGTCCTGGCAGCCAGAGCCAGCAGCTACCAACAGCCCTCAGGAACTTGTCTGGTGACTGGAGGTGGTGGTTCCCAGCAGCTCTCCATGACTCTCTGTCATTTTCTGCTTCTATCTGTCTTCCATGTCATCAGCTCCAGCTGATGGCTGCTTTCAGCACCAGTAATCTTGATATTATCAGCTCTTGGTGTACCAGCTCAGCCTGCTGCACTTGGGACAAAAATCATGAATAAGCAAAAATATGTCACCTAGAAGAGGCTTTATTAGGACTTATGCTGCATCATAGAGGGAGAATTACAGGGACTGATCCATTAAGGTGGAGGGTTGCTTATTAGAAGAAAAGGTGGGCTTGCACATGTGTTTTGTCAGTTGTGGATATGAGACAGGCTCCTTAGAGACCTGATTAAGGGTGGCTGCAGAGGGATAGAGTCATCCAGAGAGACTGTGGGATGGAGTCACCTGGGATGCATCTGACTGAAGCTTGCTGTAAAGCTCCAAAGCAAACGTCTCCCAGAGCAGCTTTGAGGTGGCTGACCTGGTCAGCTGGGAGATATTTGGGGTAGCCGTGGAAGGAGGGAAAAGCAAAGTATGTCTTGGGAACTGTTGGGCCTTTCTATCCGAGTAACAGGGAGTCAACCACAGGCCTGGGGAAGTGGTTCCCAGCCAGAGGAAATAGAGTAGGTACAACATTAGAGAGGCACAATGCCACGCAGTCTGTGAAGGCTGGTGAACCCCTTAGCCAGCTGGAGGAGCCAGGACCTCACTTTAGTGAGTGCACTCAAGGCTGATGGGACTGAGATGAGCTGATTTACAGTGACTACACTCACAGGAGACCATGCAAATAAGAACATAAACATCTTTCTTTAATGCAGTGATTCTGACCTTACCCTTTTCTGGAGTAAAGTCTTGCTAAGGAATAACAAAAGCTATGAGCCCTCTTCCCAGAAAAATGCATACATGTGCACACACACATGTATTTACACATGTACATGTGTTTACACACACATACACACACACACAATTTTGCATACAGTCTTAAGGGATCCATGGTCGCTCTAAAGATTCAGGTCTTAGATTCAGAAACTTTGCTCTGCAATGAAAAGAAGAAACCAAATGGACCAGAAAGTTGTACTGGCAGTGGACAGCATCCTCTCCCCACAGACAGATTTACTCTGTCAGTTAGTGATGATCAGAAGGTTGTCTTGTGAGGCTGAAACAGGAGCAAAATCAATCATCACATATCCTGTGGCCAGAGTCCTAGAGCTGGGTGCCACTGGAGGAACATGACAATCACTCACACACCCAGGGCCCTGGCTCATATTTCTTCAATGACTCCCCTTTTTGCATGAACTCAGGGCACTGGCACGCGGCACACTCAATTCTGTTCATGTTTACAGACTTACGTGATGTTTCTTGTTGTCACCTTAAGCAATGCTAAAACAAGTGTATTTACCGAAGGCTTCTTAGGACTTTCAGTACACTGATACGCTTTGTAGTTTTCCTTTGTGTCATTGTTTCTATTGTAGTTACCCATTTATGTAATGATTTGCTTAATGTCTGTCTCCCGCCAGACTGTAGGGACCATATGAGACGGGCCACTGTCTTGTCTCCACTTGTGTCATCAGGGCCAGTCAGAAAAGCAAAAAGAACACAAAATCAGGAGCTCAGCTAACTGGCTCTTGGAGGGCTGAAAAAGCAGAAAGGAGATGTTGAAGTAACAGGAAGTAGCCCCAGGAGGCACTTCCTACCTCAGGGACTGGGTCATGAAAACCTGGAAAGTCAGTGCAGTGACCCCACAGCCTGCAGCCCAGACTTGCAAGAGGAGGGCACTGCCAGCAGGGCTGGCTCCCTGCATGCTTCAAGGAGAGCCCTGCCAAGCGGAGACCCTGACCTCAGAGGAGGGAGCACTGCCTAGCAGAGCCTCCTAAGAAAGCAATGATACTGATTCTGGCAGTGTAGGAGAAAAAATGGAAACTGGAAGTGAAATGCCATGCCATGACATTAATGTGAACAGCAAACAATCAGAATGGCATGCAACTCCTGTGTCTTTGTGTGCTCTGCAGCACCTAACGAGGAACCTGCTGGCAAAGCAGAAACACACTTCGGTTAGTCTCAGCGCATGCACAGCAAAGCAGTCAGAAGGGCTGGCGTAGGGTGGACAGTCAGTAGCTTCTAACCAGTCCACCCTTTCCTTGCACGGCACCCACATACACTCTTAGATGTTAAAACTTCCAAAGAAAAAATAAATGTGATGCATACTTGTATAAAAAGTTGAAACTATCTTTAGTGGAGATTCTCATGCCCCATCCCCAAATGAGAAGACCAAAAATGCCCAATAGACATTATATCCATCTCTGAGTAATATTCTTCCCCACCATCCTGCCTGAATATCTATAACCTATAAACCATTGCCAGCAATCCTTCTATAAAATAGTAAGGAGGGAAATCCAAGTGGAATAAAGATCTTAATATTAAAACAAACAGTAAACTTGTTGGAAGATAGGTAGAACTCTTGAAGACATTGGCATAGGAAAAGACTTTATGAACTAATCCTCAGTAGCATGGGAACTAGCACAAAGAATCAACAACTGGGATCTCATCTTTTTAAAAAGTTTCTGCACTGCAACAGCAATCACCAGCAGAGCTAAGAGAAAACCTACAGTGTGGGAAAAAATTTTACCAGCTGTCCCTCAAAGGTCTACTACCTAGAATATATAAAGAACTCGAAAAAAATAGACCTCCCCAAATTCAAAGACCCAATTCAAAAATGGGCATCTGAAATGAACAGACATTTCTCAGACAAAGAAATAAAAGGAGAAAATAAACATATGAAACAATGTTCAACATCACTGTTCATTCGAGAGATGGAGATGAAAACAACACTGAGATTCCACCTCACCCCAGAAAGAATGGCTGCTATCAAGAAATCACCCAATAACAAATGTTGGCAGGGTCATGGGAGAGAAAGGAACCCTTCTCCATTGTTGAGGGGAGTGTAGACTGGCACAACCACTGTGGAAACCAATGTGGAGATAACTCAAACAACTAGGCTTAGAGGTCCCGTTTGACCCAGCTATTCCCCTCCTGGGTATTTTCCCAAAAGAATTAAAAGAATCATAGCACAGTGATATATTCTCACTCATGTTTATAGCAGCACAGTTTGTAAAGTTTGTAATAGCTAAAACTTGGAAACAGCCCAACTGCCAATCAGTTGGAGACTGGATAAAGAACATATAGTTTTTTTATAAAATGGAGTACTACTCAGCCATAAAGAACGATAAACTAGAGACATTTATAGCTAAGTGGATGCACATTGATGCCATACTCTTAAGTGAAATTTATAGGACACACATGTAAATACTATATAGTTTCTCTGATGTGAAAAACTAAAAGTGTAAATAAGAATCAAAATATATAATTGATACTGTGTAATAGGAATAAAAGGTCTAAAGGAATAGGGGAAGTGGGAGGGATGGGGAAAGGTAAGAAAGAAAAGAAAAATCTGAGAAAAGGAAAAAAATGGAAACAAAGTTGTTGTAAATAGAGAAGGGTGGAGCGGGTGAAGTGGGGGCAGGGGAATGGGGAAAAAATAAGAACCAAGATATATCATGTAAAGGTATAAGGTCCCAATGATGAGTGTAACTGTATTGTATACCTAAAATGTACCAAAAAATTTAATGAGAAAAAAATAGTAAGAAGGGAGGGGAGTAAACAAATCAGTTAAAACAAATATATATACATACACACACATTTATTTATATATATTTATATGTGTGTGTGTGTGTGTGTGTGTGTGTGTGTAAGTATATAGAATGACCAATGACATAGAAATCATCTATAGATACTTGCATGTGAAAGCAAGAAAGAGGGCCAGGGATTTAGCTCAGTGGTGCCTCCACCTGTCTCGCAAGCACAACGTCCTGAGTTCAGTCCCTGGTACCAAAAAAAAAGCAAGGAAGAAAACCTGTATCATCATGATAGTTGTCTTTATGTAAATGGGCATTGGGCTGTAGATACTATTTATAAATACTTCCTTTCCATTACCCACTCCACATCCTCCAGCCTATACTGCCATTGGCCTGTTTTTTTATTTGGTAGAGTGACCCAAACTTTCATTCTTGAAGGGCCTGATTCCTTCCTTGTCCTGCCAAAACTGCTCAAGCCAAAAGTTTGTTTGTTTGGCTTCGTTTTTCATTAACTTTTACTATTGATGCTGGAAATACTAAAGAGTGGCCCAGGTCCCCTTTCCTCTATCAAATAGCAGCAACCCGGTTTCCTTGGCATTCAGAACAATCACTCCATTAGGACAGTTTCC